CCTCTAACTCCTGGGCTCAAGCGAGTCTCCTGCCTCCACCTCCCAAGTAGGTGGGACCACAGGCCCCGCCACAACGCCTGGCTATTTTTTTTGGTTGCAGCCATCATTGTTGTTTGGCGGGCCTGGCTGGATTCGAACCCGCCACCTTAGGTTTCTGTGGCTGGCACCTTAGCCACTTGAGCCAGAGGTGCCGAGCCTCAAAGCTACATTTTAAGCACTCCTGTTAAACCCTATCTGGCTAAGGGCTGCACTATTTTGGCAACAGTGTGTCAGTGGCCACCACAAACATCACTCCAACCTTCCCCTCCACATGCATCTTTCCCTCACTCTTTTCAGCATCTATTATTTCTCCCAATCTCTTTCTTGTTGCTCCTCCACTTTTAACTAGGTCTTAGGTCTCTCAGGTGTTCACAAGCCTGGTTTGTCCAAACTGGTAGGCCTCAGAATTAAACTGATTGCTGACCCTGTGCAACTTTCCCATCAAGACCTTAGGCAAGTCACATCCTGACTCCCCTATCATTGTTCCAGTATGCAGGCTACATGATCTTTCCAGCTGTAACATTCCATGTGAAAAATATCCAAATAATGAATGCCTACTTGGCCAGTAATAGGCAAAGTCTCTGCCATTTTTGCCAACAGACATATACTTGGATTATGTATTTTATAAATACCCACCATGATGCAATCCTCCAAAGAATTATATATTTATAAAAATGACCAACATGGAGTTTTTAAAAACTAGCATTTTATCAAAGTTCAGAACCCGGTAGAATTTAATAGTCCCTCTAGACCAGTTTCCAAGGGTCTATCTTTAAATGGGGAAAAAAAAAGCACTTTCAAGTGTTGAGGCCCTGTTGGATTTACCAAACCAAACAAAGAAGACGGAGTGGCAAAACCGCAACAACAGTTCAACTAAATCCTAAGAAAAGAAATGCCTTACCTAGCAAATGCCAGAAAGACTAATATAAGACAACACCTCAACCTACAATATAAACGCGCACAAATATACTCAAACACTGCTGGGCACAGTGGCTCACGCCTGTAATCCTACCACTCTGGGAGGCTAAGGCGGGTGGATTGCTTGAGCTCACGAGTTCAAGACCTGAGCAAAAGCAAGACCCATCTCTACTAAAAATAGAAAAACTGAGGCAAGAGGACCACTTGAGTTGGACGTTGCTGTGAGCTATGACACCATAGCACTCTACCCAAGGGGACAGCTTGAGACTCTGTCTCCAAAAAAAAAAAAAAAAAAAAAAAAAAGGGAAAGAGAGAGATACTCAAAGAGCAATAAACACTGCAGGAATCCCCTTACCTGGGACAACTTGCAGCTTTTTAAGCCAACCAGTTGGATTCTCCCAACAAAAGTCACAGAATGCGCAGTTACCAGTTTCCAACATACCACCACCACACAAATTCACAGTATTGTTTCCATGTGCCCAACATCACAGAGCAAAACCGAAAGAAACATCAATTTCTCCTACACACAAACACATGCAACAGAAACCATTTCCTTTGCAGAACCTACTTTGTCTAAGTTGTGGCCATTAAATGGATAAATATTAGTGGCTACTAAAAATCAGATGGTTAGCTCTACACTGAGAAGCAAACAGCACACACATATTCATAAAAACAATAACCGTAAGGTATGTTCCTTGTCAGTAAGCTGAAAACCAAACACGGAGAGAAATGATTCAAAATGTCCATTTGCGGCTCGGCACCTGTGGCTCAATCGGCTAAGGCGCCAGCCACATACACCTAAGGTGGAGGGTTCGAATCCCCAGCCTGGGCCCGCCAAACAACAATGATGGCTGCAACCAAAAAATGGCCAGGCGTTGTGGCGGGCGCCCGTGGTCCCAG